TTGTTTGAGGAGTGGGTCACTGGGGCCGTGGCCTAGAAGAGAACATCTCTCTCCCACTTCTCTTGACTTCTCTCTGCTTCTGGCCTCCATTTCATAAATTGTTTCTCTGTTTGATATTCAGACAGATAGTGAGGTTAAGCTCAACAGCCTAGGCTGTATGGTAATAACAATAAGCTTCTCTTCTGGAGGGTTAACAACCTAAGTTTACAGACCAAAATTAGAGAAAAAAGTCTTTTACTTTCTTGGGTAGGGTTATTTTTATAAAATCTATCACTATCTAACTATCTATCTATCTGTCATCTATCCTTCTATATATCTATCATTTATAATCATCTATTCACATTCAATTGAGGTTATTATGAATAGGACTTTTGGCCAGATTTCTTTTTCTTGGCTTATTTTACTATTTTTATATATACCTTCATTTTTAATTTTAATTTTTTAAAGCAAATAGGAGAGAGTTAAAAAACGCATTAGGATTCATACAGAATTTTAATAAGAAAAATGTAAGGAATTCAGCAATATTTGCTATATTGTATATTGTTGTCTCCAAGTTAGTTGTTTAGTTGGCTTATTATTAACATTTATAAATCTTCCTAGTTTATTTGTTGATTTATATCCTTCTATGATACTCAGTTTATCAGTTCTAATAGAATTTGTATTGACTCTTTAGTGTTTTTAAGGTATAGAATATATCACCTACAAGCAGGGCCAATTTGACTTGTTCCTTTATTATCTTTGACTTTCTTCTTTCTTGCTCTCATTTGATTGCTGTAGCCAAACTTTTCAGTACTACAGTGAATAAAAGTGATGGGACTAGTCACCCTTAACTCATTCCTTGTGTTTCAGAAACCCATTCTGTTTTTCCTCATTCAATGTGATTTTGGTTATGGGCTTGTCATATATAATTTTTCTATTGTACTATATTTTTATATCTACAGTATTCACGGTTTTTCCTCATAAGTGATACTGAATTTTAATGAAAGTCTTTACATTTATTCAGATAATTATATGACTTTTGTCTTTGTTTCTATTTATGGAATCTATTACATTTATTGATTTCCTTATCTTGAATCAAACTTGTACTGCTGGAAGTAAACAATTTTAACACTGAATATTATTTTTCAATGTGATATTGAATTTAACTTCCAAGTATTTGACTAAAGATTTTTGTATCTAATTTCACCAAGGATTTTGGTATGCAATTAGCTTTGTGTTGCAATTGTTATATATTTATTAGATTTTGGTAGTTCAGTAACACTGGTTTCATATAATGAGTTTGGAAGGGTTTGTTTGTTTGTTTGTTTGTTTGTTTTTTACTTTATATATTCGTCCTGTAGACTTTTTAATAAAATATTGGTATTAGTACTTTAAAAATCTGACAAAATTCAATAACAAATGTATCTTTTCCTCTGATTTTCTTGGTTCAAGGTCCATTAACATGGTAATGTTTCAAAATCATTATTTTACTGCTTAAATGTTTTATATCTTCTTGATTTAATTTAGTATCTCATAGCTATCTAGAATTGTATTCACCTCTTTTACATTATCCAATATATTAGCACATAAATTTTTCATTAATAATTGGTATTGTTCTTTCAGCCACTTATCTTCTAACCTTCATGATTCTTTTCTTCTTTGTATTACATTTGTTTATGCTGTAGTATTTATTATTCATATTTTTCTACTAATTTGGGGTTTGTTTTACTTTAGGTTACTTATATGAGTTCTCAGATTTCTAGGTGTAAGCTTTCACCACTATAAAATTCCATTTTTTTAATTTTTAAAGACAGTACAAAATAGTATTAAAATAGAAAAATTACATGTGATACATAATTTTACTTAACAAAGTAATATGAATTCCACAGTATTTCTTGTAAAACATAACATTGTCATCCAACCAGTTTTACATACTACCATACATAAGAATGTGAAATTGAAAGATGAAAGAAATATATAAGAAATTAAGAAGAGGAAAAGGACAGAAACACTAAATGCTTCTTTCCATATACCAATAGAAATCCACAGCAGAGTTGTCCAAATCACCCTTTTTATGTATGAAGATATATTTATTTCTCCTACTCTCTCTCCCGTACTTCTCCTTAATTCAGTAATTCCTTCTTTTGAACAGGTTCATTCCCTTTCCCAAGTGTCTGTTGTACCCTTCAGGTTTTACTTTCTCCTTCAGGTTCTTACACTAAGGAGACAATACTATGTTTGCACATGCAGGTCTGATTTATTTCACTTAA